GATTTCATGACTTCAAGACAGTCTCTCCCAAAACAATCCAAGTTGTGCTAAGAGCAAAGGGAGGTCACACTGAATAGTGACCTAGGACTGTAGAAGCCAGTTTGTTCTGAAAATTTTGTTTTTAAATACTCTGTACATATTTCCTGTATTTTCTGGTTATACCTTAGTGAGGAAAACAAGAATTAAATATAAACTATCATTACAACCTGCTAAAACAGCAAAGCTAATGGTGGCCTTTGCACAGTACTGTATATATACAGTATACAATATATACTATACACAGAGGTCAAGGTTTACACTGGTTCTGTTTTGTTGGCTAGCAGCATTATTCTAGAGATGACAATGTCATTGTGTCAGTCAGTCCACCATTCTGGTCCAGACTGAAAAATCTTGTCAACTATGGGATGGATTGGGTGCACCATGTTGTTTTCACCCACTGATTTCCTGCCATCTCTTTGCTGTCTTCTGAAGAATGACAATCCCCCCCAAGCCCCAGCTGTACTTACTGTGTTTATGGTTATCTAGCAAATGTTAGCATGCTAGCATTGTTAGCATTTAACCCAAAGCACCACTGTGCCTAAGTACAGCCACTATTGTGGCTGTAGCCTCAGAGTCTTCTACTAAACACTCAAATAATGACTGACCATTTGGGTTCTTTGCAGGACCACCCAGCAGATAAAAAAAACCTTCATGTCAAAATATGTCTTGCACATACAGTGTGACCAGACAGACGTTGTTAATACAGTCCCTTGTTACATCCTGTGCTGTGTCAGTCTGGGCTTTGTTCTGCAATATTCAATCAGTAATAAAAAAATTCTCATTTTATGTTTTTATTCATGTTAGGTGCACTGCAGAGAATCTTTCATCCATTTTAAGCACTGAAATTATGTGCTTTCATAAATCACATCTAGCATCTTAGGCTAACTAAAACTAAACTGTTTCTTTTAGCATTGACTTTAAACTGCAACTGTTATTTTTAAAGCACTTCATGAACGGGAAACAAGCTATTCTGCAGAGGTCTTCAGTCTCTCCATCCATATGCAGTGGTCTCTGATTGCTGACACAAAGTCTGGGATTGACATTGAGGGGAAACTGAGCCTTTTCTGTCAGGATAGGAATGAAATCAAGCACAGATTTTTACAGTGAGTTAATGGAGGTTTTGAAATAGGATACTTTTAAGAATAGATTTGCAGTACCTTTAATCTAACTGTGGCTGCAGTACAAAGGTCAATCATGTTATCAATGGAATAACTTCGCTGAACACAAAGACGACTTCAAAGCAAACCAGACCTAACTTCAGGTTGGTGAAAGCAAGGAGAAAGTGTTTGATCTCCAGAACATGTGACAACTTCACCACTTCAAATGAACCCATAATGTGACAGCTACTGAAGCGCTACCGTGGAAACCCAAAGCAACCGGAACAGACATGCTATACTGTTATAATAAATGTAGGCTATAGCTCACTGTTACCAGTTAATATATACTGTCTGACAGGACTGAAATAATCCCCACTTTTTGACTTTCTGACTCTGCTCTGGTCGTCTGAAAGGCTAAATTAATTCATCTATTGGCTTTGACAAGTAGAAGAACACGGAGTAGAAGTCAGTTTAACTACAAGATGCCAAATGGTTTCTAGCATCAGGAAACTGACAGCAAATTCGAATTTGATGGATGATGTGTCAGATGAAGATGACAGAGTAATGTGTAAGAGGCCAGAGATATGTCTCACCGTGAAGGCAGTGTATCCCTCCTCTACCAGTATGCTTCTTGCACAGTTGTTGATGTGCTTGAAGCGGTCAGGACCCAACAAAATACCTCCATACCATCGAGACACAACCACCATGACATTACGCACATCCAGAATCTGTAGGAGACAAGCATGGTACAGTGGTAAGAAAAAAATCTCTGAACCCTTTGGAATGATCTGATTTTCTGCATTAATTGGTCATAAAATGTGATCTGATCTCAAATGACACAAAGTCACAAGTATAGACCAATACAATGTGTAAAACCACATAAACAAGTTTACTATTTTGTACTTTATTTAACAGACCTATTAAACACTCACAGTACTGGTGGAGGAAGTAAGTGAACCTTTAGGTTTAATAACTGGCTGAAACTGTGGATCAGACCTGCACAACTTTCAGGAGGAATTTTGGACCATTCTTTCTCACAGAACTGCGTCAGATATATTCTCGTGATGTTGGTGTGAATTCCTCTGTGAGCTTATTCTGCAGCATCTCTGTGGGGTTAAAGTCTGGACTCTGACTTGAATGCTGCAAAAGGGGGGGGTTTCTTTGTCTCAATCGGTAGCTGATTTAACTTGTTTAATAAATACACTGCTTTGCTGGCAACTGGTGTGTCCATTCCTGTTTTTGTCATGAGCCAGGTTATGACACTTACATTCAGGATCCTTTGCACTGCAGTGTCACCCAATGTCTGGTGCATTTAGCCCTCAATAATGGCAGTTATCGAGGCCCAGAGGCAGCAAAACAGCTCCAAATCATGAAGCGCCCTCCACCATACTTCACCAACCTACACTGTGAAAGTTTGAATGATGTATTCAGGGTGGACAACAACAACACAATCATTTGTGTGTTATTAGTTAAAATAGACTGACTGTTCATAACTGTGACTTAGATGAAGATGTGCCCACATTTCAAGACAAATATTTGTACAAATGCAGGAAATTCCAAAGGGTTCACTGACTTTTACTTGCCACTGTACATGTGAAACAAGTGTGAATTTGAGAAAGTTGGGCAAGAGATAAAACCAATAAACTGCAATACAACTACCTCCTCTGGCAGCCATATTAAAGCAGGAAATTATTTCAGAGCAGATGCAATACAATGGATCAATCAGCTGCCGGTCTAAAGCTGATGTCCTGAAAGTCCAAAATTTGGGGATATCTCCCTATTTTGCCATTTCAACAAAGTTCAGTGAGAATTTATTTCACTTTCATCTCTGTGTTCTCAATATGTAACTCCAGGACAACTAACTGGAAGAGAAAACAATTCAAGGTCCAATTTCTTCAACTCACAGCACTTTCTTTGTAATCAATGCTTTGTACAGAGATAACGCGGAATAAAATTGTAAACTCAATACAAAAACATACAATCCTCAGTGCAATAAAAGACCTGGTTAAAAAGGTACCATTAAAATACCATGAAACAACAGCATAAAAACATATAATTAAAGCTGCTATAATCAATATTTTTCCCTTAACTACAGATCAAATTACTACACTACTGTAGGTGAAAGCGGTCCTTCCACATGACAAGCCCACAGATAATATCCTCAGCTCTAAGGAGAGTTTTAGTATATTTCACCTCACTGTAATGATCTTCCTGCCAGCAGCTTTGCTGTTGTAGTTCACTACACTTGCTCTCATCAATGCTGCTGCTGTTTTCAGTGATAAAGTCCTGTCATCAAAACCCCGGTCTGCTAGCTAACAAGAGTGTAAAGATAAACATTTGGATTTGTTACAAGATTTGTATTTACCTTTCAATGTGGACTAGCCATGTGTGGCTTGCTTGTGATAATAGCATCTCTCTAATAAACATGAAGGGATTAAAGGGACCCTAACCTTCAAACTCCCATTAAATGAGCAAATTTCCCTTAAAAACACGCTATTACTTTAACATAAAGAGGAGAATTTGGCTCTGCACTGCAACTGACAAAAAAGAGTGCAATCTGTCATTTGGAGGACTCATCCACATCTGGCTGCCAACACTATTAATCAGATCCTTCTCTTATTCATCTCCCTACACACAGGAAGCACAAATCTAAATGAGGAAACAGGAAGAAAGGTTTGTAGAGAGGAATGAGATTAGAGAAGAATAGCTTAAGGAGAACGCACTTCATATAAATGGCTGAGTACGCTGAGTGTTACAAGTGGAAGATTAATCAGTGTGCTGCTCAAAAGGAAGAACAGGAAGAGAGTGGACCTGAGGCTCTCACTCCAGTTACACTAAGTCAGTCAGCTGCAGGAAGCCACCTGAGAGTGGTTCTTTTAATTGATCAAGAAAAGCAAAAATAAAAGAAACTTGCTGACTTTACTTTTTCAGCTTATGCACAGTACACAGTTGAGTTATTAGATGTGTTGAGAACACAGATTTTCAAATCTACAGAAATAGATAAAACAGGGATTTAAACCTGTAATAAACTGTTTTGGCTACTTGTGGATAGTTAACATTAGTGGCATATCACACTTTATGAAGCTGATTTGGCTAATATGGTAGCAAATAGTTGCCTATCTACACAACACAGAACAACATTAGCATTCATTTGAAGCTGTGTTTATGGCATCTAACTAATGCCAAGTTCGACATTTACCCTCCTTGTAGCTTTGTTTTAGTCCCCACCAGTTTCTATGGCAAATAATGGACTCTTTAGCTGCTAAATGCTAAAACTGTGGAGCTGTCTGTGAGTTGCGTGAAGAGCACAGCAGCCTGTGTTGTCTCTCCTTCACAGAAAATTTGAAGTAGCAGTTAAAAATAAATGTTTCAAGCCGGCAGTAAAACTGAAAACTATCTGGCTAGCCCTGATAGGGTAGCTACTTCATAGGGCTGACTGTGAAAGTCAATATGCTAATGTTAGCAAAGTATCACAGTGATATTTAATGAATATGGTTGAGTCCATTATGCCAAAAATGTTGTGAGCATTTGCTCCTGTTGGTCAGCGTCAGCCCACCATGTCGTAGATGATGAAAAAAAATTCTGACATGCTAAACATCGGGGTGTTTGTTTACTATGACACACTGTAGGAGATAAAAACAATATTGTCCTGTCTGATGCCAATTGTCAGTTCCAACATGCCCTAAGTGGGCTGTTATCGGGCTTAAATCGTGTAGTTTGAACTGGGCATTAAATGCTACATACAGCTGAAGGTGATAATCCTCTATGGCTCTGTCACTACAGGTGATACCTTAAGTCTTCTGACCTACTGTTAATAGAAAGGAGAGCAGCTTTAATGTCAAGAGCTGAGATATGCACATACAAATCTTTTGCTGGACTGAGGTCTCATGAAAAAGCATGAAAAATAGATGTAAAATTGTGCATATTGCTTCCATATATTTAATAGGAAGTTATATGTACAATGTTTCAACATTGTACATAGCCTTTTTGTCATTTATCCAAAATGTAATTTAAGCAAATTGGAGCCACCGCTGAGTGTTTTTTAAGTGGCTAAATGTTTTGGAAGAGAACACTGTATTAAAGATAGCTTGATTAATCTTAATTCAGCGCAGAAGATCACAGTTTCTAACATACACACTAAGACTCCACTGCACTGTTTCACACTAATTTATCTCTCCAACAGGGTCACATTGGCAGAGGCGACTGCTATCATCTATGAATGAGTATTATCTTTGACTTGAGTCATGGAGCTCATCTGAGAAAGCTCTGACATGACTTGACACCCTCTGGTGATGAGTATGACAGAAGTACTACCTTCTGATGACAGCTAACTTTTTGTGTTGTCACAAACCTTTCGCTGGCTTTCATTCAATATTACGAGAAAACAAAAAAGTGTGTGGACCAATCGCACATTTTAGTGTGATGTGGGTGTGTGTGTGTGTGTGTGTATGTGTGTGAGTGTGTGAATCATGGTGCCATCTGGCAGTACAAGCCGGTGACAAGTCCATTACTGATATGTGAAATGAAAAGAATTGTTGTATGAATTTACTACTGTGTGTCCAAATTTCCTGAAAATGCACAGGGTGTAAATTTACACATTATTAAATATCACTGTGATACTTTGCTAACATTAGCATATTGACTTTCACAGTCAGCCCTAGTATTGTGCATCTTAAAACCATAAAGTCTCTGTGTGGTTACATAAAGGTGGAGCAAATGTTAACTACCTTATAGCCTTATAATTTAAATTACAGCTTGATAGCTTGTGAATTTCCCACCCAGGATCATAAAGTCGTATGATTATACTGTATTTTGTTTCATTAATCTGATTCTGAAAAGTAACTAATGAAGATAGCAAATAAATGTAGTAAAGTAGAAAGTATATTTGACTGTAAAATGTAGTGAAGTAAGTAGTGAACTATGAAGTAGCAGAAAATTAAAATACTCAAGTATAGATACATCATACAATAACTGTACTTAAGTACAGTACTTGAGTAAATGTACTACTTTTCACCTCTGCTTCATGTCCACAGACACAGAGGCTATTCAGTCTTTGTGGAGGTGTAACAGTATCCTCCTTTTTTACCTCATTTGACATCTTCACTAAGAGGAACTTATTTTGGAGTGACAGTATGTAAATATTAAGTATGTACATTTTTTCTTTTATGCTGTAAAGTGCCAATTTAATATGCACAGCTTTTGTACATACATTGCAGTTTTTACATGATCATGACCATTTGGACCCATTTCATATATATATAGTTTAATATCACATACTGTACATACTGTTTTTTTTTTTTTTTGAGGAATACATCTTGAAATGTTTACCATACATGTAGTACTAAACTACCATAGGAAACATTATTGTGGGAGTGCGTGGAAAGCTCCAATCACAGCCTAAAGCCCACAGCAGATGACAAATTATGCAGACTGTGAAAATTAATCATGCAAAAGCCAAAGAAAAGCCAGATGCCATACCAACAATGAGGTTGTAATATGGGCAAAAACTTCCTGGGTTCTGCACTGACTAATTCATTAGTTCTTTTGACCTTTTCTCCATTTTAACAAATGCAACCTACAGTTTTGCATGCAGCTGACAGGCTCATTAGTTGAGTGAAGGTCAGTATTTTAACAAAATGTTAACCTGCAGTAAGTGGAGTAATCTCCCCCCTGCGGCTGTCTCACCGTCGTCCTCACAGTCCTGCAGGAAACTGTGCTTGTCCTCGCAGTAAATCCTACAACAGAATGACAACAGCTTTCCATTAGCTGGGAGAGCACTAAGTCATTTTGGTCAAAGAACGACGCTGTGAAATCAGCAGCCTCTTCGACTGAAATGTTTTAATAAGTGGTCTAAATGTCAACATATCCTCCCTGTGAGTAATGACCATCCAGACAGTGCATCAACGTTGACCTCATTAGATCATGCTAAAAAAACACTCAGACACACAGGCAAGTATGTGTGAGAAAACACGCACACACACACACACACACACACACACACACACACACACATACACATGTGTGTGCTTTCATGCCTTGTGGGGACTTTACATTGGCTTACATTCATTTCCTGGAGACTTATCCTAACCCTAACCCTAATACTTAACCTAACTCCTAACCCTAAACCATGTTGCCACCCTAAAATTCAGTGATTTCCTTGTGGGGACTAGCTTATGGTCCTCACAAGGATGGCCGAGTCCCCACAGTGTTCATTCATTCATTTTCTACCGCTTAGTCCCTGAATGGGGTCACGGGGTCCCCACAGTGTGAATGTGTTAACAGGTTTCGGTCCCTATGATGTAAGTAATACAAAGGTGCACACACACACATCTATTCACATAATGCACAGTACTGTCAGAAAGCCTTCTTTTTATCTGGTGATTTTATGGCCTTTAATTGTAACAGAAAAGATGAAGAGGCTTTGAATCCTTACTTATTTCATGTTCTTCTCCACCAATGAGGCTCATTGTAACTCTAACCTACAGCTGCATTAGTTACATTATAAAGCTGTGACTGATGTGTGTGTGTACAGTATATATATACAGTACATGCATACACACACAGACACTGCTGACCTGTAGGCATAAATATTATGAGTGGCACTAGCGATCTTCTTGTTTTCGTACAGCTTCTCCAGAACCATTTTAACCTGCAACACACAATAGGTGGAACACTGAGTACCACGAGGACATATTCATCACACTCAGGTGCCTCTCCATCCTTACTATTATATATGAAAACACACTGGCACATGGATTTTACCTTCTGTACAGTGTTAAATATAGACTGCTTTCATACTGAATCCCTTAGTGGATGCAGTAAAACAGTCAATGCAGTCAAAGATGCTGTATCTGTGCAGATGATGACAGCTGAGGTCAACATGCTGTCTGATGCTGCTGATACACAACACAGTATTAATCAACTGCTTATGGAGGGAAAATAACATTTCAGGTATTTTACATAAGGCTGAGAATTTAAAATCTATAAAATACACCTTGCAAGTAAACTATAGTTTGAAAAAGTAGGAAAGTAGAATCAATCTCTAGAAATGTCTCAGTTAATTTTTTGCTCAGGACATTTACACAACTGAAGATATTTTCATTTGCAACATGTTGCCACAAATATTTTATAAGTACTAGCTGGCATTGTTCTCACCAGTCATTCACTTTAAGGTATAAAGCAGCAACCAACAACCCACTGCTATTATGTTCTTGTGAATCCACAAAGTACAGCTTTCCTTCGAATTTCTGCCAATTGTTAAAGTGTTGTACACAGTTTATGAAGTATGTGTTTCACTGTTCCGGTACTCCTCCCTCCTACTCCTGTTTTCTGAATCATTTCCAAAAACCTGAAATCATAATAATGACCCTGTAATTAGTTCAAATTGAGCCTTTGCTGGAATACACGCTTTATCTAAATGCAAATGAGCATTTCAACACTGTAAATGTTATTATTATTTTATCTTCAACAACTGAAAACTTCAAGACAATTACAAAAACACATTAAATCTGTACAGGTCTTAGTCTATTCAGTTCTTCTGCTTTCCACAGATGTAAATATTTTGTCCAGAAAGCTCTTCACCGCAGGTGGAAGCTTTTAAGACATGTTGGTATGTTACCAGAGAGCCACAGTGAGATGCTGGAACGAGCCAGATGAGGTTAGAGTTTATGAAATTGCTGTGTGCATTAGCACATTTAAATCCCTTGCCTCTTTAAGATCTTCATCAAGTAATTTCTACTGAAGCTGGTACAGGCTGTCATTTTCCATTTGTCTTAATAGTTGAAGAAACATTTAGCATCATTTAACTTTTCATAATGAAAAACTCACACATACACATGAGCATTTAAACACTGTAAATGTTAGCATTATTGGAAAGCTGATTTTATACCTTGCATAAACCAGTTATGCTATAACAAATTTTAAAATTCACCTTGCGATTTTGTCTGTATATTTGTGTCCCATGTTCTACAGTATGCTCCTGATTAAAACGTAAGGACTTGTGAAGGCAATATGTTAAAGGAAGACACTGTAGAAGAAGTAAAGTATCTGCATACATACTGTATCACTCACTAGCATTAAGAACAATTACACTGTGAAGAACACACTGCCTTTTGGAGGTCCATCTGTGATGTGTGCCCATGAATGTAGCACAGTGTTATACAGACAGGTTTTTACTCAAACCAGACTTGAACAAGTACTGTGTGATTCAGCAGGGACATGGTCATTTCAGTATTGTGGAGCCTCAAAGTGTTCACTATTAAATACATTATTACAACATTACAAAACAACTGCTGACATGAATAAACTGTGTGTAAAATGTACATACAAATATGACAAATAAATATTAAAACAAAACAGTGTGATAAATTCTATTTAAGCACAGTATTTCATATTAGGTTTGATGAAACTTTATTTCTATTTCCTTATGGGATTGTAGTCTGTGATTTTTATGACACTTTTACTTCATGTTTCCCTCACGTTAGCAGTGTTACCAGTGCTAGCTAGTTAGCTCCTGTTAGCTAACAGTTAGCTGGGTGGGCAGTGGGGGTCATTTGATTTGTTGAGGGATCACCTCCACTGACTGTCTTAAAAAGTCACTTTGTGGAATAAAATTGTCATAACAATTGGTGTCTTTGTGATAATGCAATTAAACATTAAATAGACATTTGGGGAAATGTTATATATAAAAGGTAGGAATTGTATAAAAAAGAACCAAACAAGTCTCCACATTAGCTCTCAGTGAAGTACAGTTCTGGCCAAGAATATTGACACCCCTGCATTTCTGTCAGATAATGCATTACTTCTCCCAGAAAATTGTTGCAATCACAGTTCTTTAGTTTTCTCATGTTTATTTCTTTTGTTTGCATTGGAATAACACAACATTCCAGTACAGAGGTCTAAGAAACTCACTGATGGTTACAGGAAGTGATTGATTTCAGTCATTTTGTCCAAAAGGTGTGTTACCAAATATTAAGTTGAGGGTGTCAATAATTGTGTCCAGTCCATTTCTGGAGTTCTGTGTGGAATGGATCACATTTGGCTTTTTTCCTCAGCTTTTTTGTTCCAGTGCAAACAAAAGAAATAACCCTGAGAATACCAAGAATTTGCTGGGAGAAGTGGTGCATTATCTGACAGAAATGCAGGGGTGTCAGTATATTTGGCCATGACTGTAAGTCTTTGCTGTTTTCTCAGTTTTTTCTTCAACAACTGAACACTTCAAGACAATTACAAAAAACACATTAAATCTGTACAGGTCTTAGTCTATTCAGTTCTTCTGCTTTCCACAGATGTAAATATTTTGTCCAGAAAGCTCTTCGCCGCAGGTGGAAGCTTTTAAGACATGTTGGTATGTTACCAGAGAGCCACAGTGAGATGCTGGAACGAGCCAGATGAGGTTAGAGTTTATGAAATTGCTGTGTGCATTAGCACATTTAAATCCCTTGCCTCTTTAAGATCTTCATCAAGTAATTTCTACTGAAGCTGGTACAGGCTGTCATTTTCCATTTGTCTTAATAGTTGAAGAAACATTTAGCATCATTTAACTTTTCATAATGAAAAACTCACACATACAGTAGAATAGGCTCTTTTATGAAAAAAAAGCCCAAAAAACATGATTTCTGTTTTGTACCTGTCTGGGAGTCACCACAGGTGCTAAGTGAGGTTGGAAGGTGCTGCGTCGGTCTGTGATTGTGTTTCCATGTTTTATTGGAGGCACCTCTTCATCTACAAGATAAAATGTTATACATAACACCTTAGCTTCATTCATTTTATAATGAGCTGTGTTTTGTTTTGGCCACTGAGTCCGGTGCAACAAAGTCTACCAAACTAAAAAAAGTGATACCGTTTGCATGGTCCATGAAGAAGTAAGCACTTTCTGTGTTCAGTTTGAAAGTCCTGAAGTCGGGTGCATCTTCATCATCATTCACTTCTTCCTCAGCCGTCAAAGTCACATTTTCTGGCTGACCTGCTAAAACAGTTAAGAAATTTGTTAAAGAAAAGGTTGTGTGCCTATAAGAGTCTAAGCTGAGCAGGTCAGGCAGCTTGTCATTAAAATGACACCTCTTGGGAACTCTATTACCAAATGACCATTTCATAACCTTAACTTTGACACCAAAATGCTTTCATGACCTATTATGCCAAAACAGACAATTTATAATGGATAACACCAATTACTAGAGCCTGGCAGATATTAGACCTTTTTGACCAGTAAAGTTGCTGATCATTTTTAGCAACCACAACAATCACAACAACATATGCATGGGGAAAAGTGCCCCAACTGTCCACATTACTGGGTGATGGTGTTAATGGTCTAAATCCACTGTAAGCCAATGGTGTGGGATCAGACAGATAAGCTGAAATTAGTGCTCTATTTAATGGAAACAAAGGCATTTGTGTGAGCAATGCCTATCACTATCATCATTTGATGTCTGTATAGATGAAGTATATATCTATCAACACAATCAAAAACATAAGTGCTGAAGTGGTCTGAGGGCAAACTAACAATCGCTTTGTGTATTTTTCTGCAGCATGTAATGTATCAGCATCATATTTGCGGTAAGCCAGTTTCACATCAGTTAATTATATCAGCACCACAATATATGCCAGACTAATATTTGCAGACAACTAGACAATATACAGTACAGTGTAAAGGCTAAAAATGTACAGCACCCTGATATTTCTCTTTTATATACCCTGATAATAACAAACCCAAAAATATGCGAGTCCATCTCTCAACACTTTACAGCCTTCTCAGCTTTTCTGTGGATCCCAAACCCAAACCCAGTGGTTTCTGCTGAAGACTGAACTCTAAAAATGTGTCACAAATGTATACGCTGCATCCAAAATCAATCACTCATTCACTACTCACTCAGTACACTCAGTAGTGAGCAGTAAATTCAGGTTTCAGATACTAATTATCAGCATTTTTTGTCATCACTGACCACCAGTGAGTCACACAACATGTTTTTGCGCTCCAGTATAAAATGGGGAGCATTGCATTGTCGGATTGTTAGCAGGAAGTGGAGTACATGTCATTGATGTCACTTTTTCCTTTCCATTGTGGGATTTTTTTTACAAGAACTATACACTATTGTAGATATTTACACTCAACAAAACACTGAACAGTAAATGTATACAGCACAATAAGGAGTTATTTCTTTCACAGCTGTACCTTCATTTCAGAAAGAGGTTAGGTAATTGGGTAGTTGTAGTTTTTAGAAAATGATGCTAAAACTTGAGGAAATGCTAATCAGTTAATTTGTTGGGGACTATTTTCAGCCACAGATTAATACAAATTTGGTGCTCCAGAGTATTTGTGGCAACAAGACAATGTACTCTAAGTGGGGTCAAGTCAAAATAAACCAAGGTGCCCATGTTCATCACAATAAAAAATGGCAACAGTGTGACTCATTTGTGTATTTTAATTGTTTTTGGACAACAATTAAGGGAAAAATTTCCCCTTGAAAGATGTAATGTATCATTTATAATGTTTCAGGCCAATCGTCATACTATTCCCCTCTCTGAGTGATAGAAAATCTGAGCCGACAAAAATATTCATACACTTATCTGTAATGCTTTCAGTTCATTACCTAGGACTCACAGCAAAGACAATAAGGACAAGCAGCAAATGCTTTGCAGACAACACCATCATCCCAGACATCCTCCACCCCAGCTCACTGTGCCTGCCCCCACCTATCAGTGGATTACTAGCTTTCTGACAGACAGGAAGCAGCAGGTGAGGCTGGGGAAAACCACATCCAGTACCCAATAAGCACAGGCGCCCCCCAGGGATGTGTGCTCTCCCCTC